GTCTGCTACTTACATGGCTCATAATCTCTAATGGAGAAAATGATTTATACAATCTCTTTTGGACACTATTTTTCTAGGCATTACAAAAGTTTGACATTAATACACAATAAACTAGAAATTGTCAGATATTAGATTATAAAAGAAAATAAGTATATCTAATAAAGATAAAGTATCTTATCGAATCTGCTGAAAAAAAAAAACTTAAATATGTTTTATAATTTTTTAAATTTAGGATCAATTTATTTTTTTTCCTTAAATTTAAAATTATTAATTTTAGTCTTTGTAATTTTAAAATTTTTTGTTTTAGTCTCTCAGTTCACCAATAATATATATGAAAGTGATACTTGAGATAATTATGTAATATTAGTTGTATTTAATATGATGTTTTTATTGGAACCATAGAAATAGAAAATAAAAGATATATTAGTGTAACGACCTGCCAGGTCTCACACTGTCTATAGCGTCCAAATACAAGTATAAAATAAAATATCACTTCTAAACAATTATATATATATTGAGAATACACAACTAAAAAGTCCCATAATATATATAACTGAAAATAGGGAATAATACCCTATACAACAATTAGGTAGTCAAAAGCTACCAATCAACTAAATACAACGTTAGCCCTTCTCTTAAGTCCCAACCAAAAAGAAGCTCACCCAATCCAGCGAAGCACCTAATCCTGATCTGCTCGCATATCAAGGTATGGTCATTGCAGTCCCAACCACAAGGGAAAACATGTTAGGGTAAGCTCATAACAATAATCATAAAAAAATAGCATCAACATATAGTAAACAACAATAGAATTCTACTTTCAACTTGCAACTTAAAGCAACAACATACCTATAACAATAGATATACAACATCATCTAATAGCAACAACATTTTCAACACATCGTACTTTACTTAAATTGGCCGCTTGTAATCGGTATAGCTTGGTCTGATCCCTATACCGTGGTCGCTTCATACACGTGTGCCTCAACCTTACCCACACACGGGACCAACTAAGTCCTAAAAGAGAATAACACATCATCCACTCCAAGGGACAACTTTCCAATGAGGGTTTTTAAATAAATTGGGTTCTCAATGCACCACAACTATCTCAATCTGCACAATGAGATGAGCAACTTTGAAAACTTCTCCTCTAGTCCTAGTGATCAACAACTCATCATCACACATAATCACATAGTATTTATCACAATAGCTCCACTATCAACTTATTCATACAACATTATATACAACTTGAATGCAAAAACCCATGCAACATCAACTAATGTGTCGTCATGCATATACAACTTGGAGATCTCCAATAACTGAGGTTGAGTAGTCTAGGTGGTATAAACCCTACCGAATCCAACGTTTGACCTATCTCAACCAGGTCAGGTATAAGACATCGTTAGGAGCTCCGAAGAGAACCAGGTATAGACAATAATAGGCGATTGCTCAAGTGTGCCACTTAGACTTGGAGGTCCAGTACTACTGTCAAGGCAGAAGGGTTTGGGTATGGGCCTACCACGACCTTGGCTTGCATAACCAATCCACATATGGAGTTAGCCCACCCACTGGCCTCCAAGTACCACGCACCCTCCAGTACCTAGTCAAAGACTACATCTCTAACTAGATACCTTACTCAAATTGGTCATCCAACCATGACATGGATCGACTACTTCCATGTCTCCCACACAGTAGTAAGGGATTCAATTTTAAAACAACCTTCAACTTATCACCTTAGTACTATGTATCTTAACATAGGACATATATCTTCACCATATGTCCCCAGCTTTTCAACTTTACAACAATAGGCAACTTTACAACGTTACAATAATAGGAAACTTTATACAACTTCACAACAATAAGCATCTTTATATAACTTTACAATAATAAGCATCTTTATACAACTTGACAACAATAAACATCTTTATATCAACTTGAATAAATAACTTGAGCAACTATAGTCATCACAATATCAACTTTACGACTTCACAACTATAGACACCCTTCATTCAACTTGACAACAATAGTCATCTTGATACTTTAAATCAACTTAATGAAACTTAACAACTTTAAACAACTTTGCAACAATAATCTACTTCAATTTATACATCTTAAATTATTAATAATTCAATGATAGACAACATGTAAACAACTTAGTTTCATCAAACACACAACATATAAACAACTTAAGCCAACAACTACTCAACTCATCTTCATCAGGCAACTTAACAACTTTACAACCTTATAAAAAACTTCAACAAAATACAACATATTCAACACAAATTACAAATCAACCAACATATTTAAAGTTCATCTATCATGCCAACTTACACAATGTAAACAACATAAATTAACTTAAGCACCCAAACAACTTTCAACTTAACCAAATCACTTATTGTGAAATGAAAACCTTTACATAAAATACATTTTGAGAGTTATACTAATCCTATCAACCTCATCCTTATCTCATATGAAAGATAAGAAGATTTCCTACAACTGTTACAAAGACATCAAGTCCTAATTCCATCATCTACTTTGTCAAAACTTGCAAAAACCGCAACCTTTTTAACTCAATCCACACCAACAACTCAACCATTTCAAGAAAAAATAATGCATAAAGTTTCCCTAACCTGAAGATTGGCTTAGAATAGCCAAGAGCTAAGAAGAAGCGAAATTTCCTTCCAAAGCTCAACCCGGGAACTTAAATCTTCCAAAAGCAAGTTTCCTAGTCTAGAGTCCTTCTCTCTAAAACTTCTCTCTAACTTCTCTCTAAGTTCCTTTCCTTTTTTTTCTCAACTGCATGCATGTGGTCTATTTATAGGAGTCTAGAGTGGTCAGAATGGCCCGTTTCGAATCCGGAACGGCCCGTTCTGCACCCCTTCATCATGTGTAAAACTCATATGTAGAAAGACTCGTTCTTAAACCAGAATGGCCCGTTCTAGAGTTGAGTTTAACTCACAACGACCATGTTTGGAACGACTCATTCTGAACTAGGATTTATAGGTCTATTTAGTAGTTTGGGACTGTCCGTTCTAGTTTGGGAACGACCCATTTTAGACTACTAAATCACCCTTGTTTTAGTAGTTTGGAATGGTTCGTTCTAATTTGGGAACGTCCCGTTCCAGTCTACTAACTACATTACAATTTTTCACTAAAATTACATCGAGCTCAACATTACACAAATGATAAAATTAAATAACAATGACTAAAATAAAATAAGAAGATTCAGTGAAGTTTGGGTTGAAACATGTTTGACGCTATCCTCAATGAGAAAATGTTTCCACTACATTGGTAGATTATTTTGTAATGCGCTTCGAAAAAAAAAACTACTCCAAAATATGTTTAATAATAAAAAATAATTTTTAAGGAGGAAAAATGAATGAAGTGTTGTGTATTGTGTGTCTCTATTGATTCATGAAGGCAAAATATATAGAGTTGATGCAACTTGTGCAAGGCTACAACCTCGTGCACAAAATCATATTGTGACTAGGTCAAAGGAAATAAATAAAAATAATAAAAAATTGAATCTTAAATAGTAACTAAAGTAATAGGATTTATTTTTTACAATTAGAGAAAAGATTGTTATCTCATTTTGCTATGATTGAGTCGGCGTTTTAGGTGCAAAAATGATTGGGTTGGTTCGATATGGTAAAGTCACTTAGACTACTCATATTGTTAGAAAATTTTCATAGGTAAATGCATAAAGATACATTATTTGAGGTGTATACATATGATATATGTTGTGGTGTGTTAATATGCATTGTTGGATGTCTTGTGTGACATGTTTTGGATGAAATATATGTTGACTTTGGAGTGTTTAACTTTCATATATGGTTGTGGTATGACGTTGTATGATATATAATTAATTTCTATGTTTATATGTTTTTGAACTTTTAACTTACCATTTTGTTTCCATGTAGTTTGGACTACAATGATCATACGTTGCATTAGAACAGATCAAGGCTAGGTCGGATGTGCGATTATTGTTAGGTGGAGGGACCCTTTTGTTGGTGTTAGTGCTACTTCATGTAGCTTGTATAGGTGTGTTCGACCGAAATTAGGCTATGTAGTTTATCTTTGGGATTGTTGTATATACATGTATATGATTTATATTAGTATGACGGTGACACTTTTATATTCATATTCTATGTATGTCCATATATTTATTAGTTAAACTTGTATAATTTTAGTAGACTAGTTTTTGCTATTGGTAGTGATCTTACATAGTATAATAACCTTGGCAGATCGTTACAAAAATATCCCTAATTAAAGAGTGTAATCTTAATTTGATAAATGCACTAATTATAAGCTCTTTAAAGAGCATATACTCTAACTAGTTAAGTGAAAAATCAATATTATTAGGAGAAATAAATCATATAAGACATAAATTCTAATTGACTAGAAGATATATGAGTGTTAATTAGGAAATAAAAGTAATATAAAGATAGTTTTAGAAAGAAAAAAACATAAAAAAGATAATTCATGATTATCAATATGATAGATTATAAAATTGAATCTTATATAGAGAAAGAAAGTTAATAATATATACTGTAATTATTTTATTTCTACATTTAATACGAAAATAGAAATTCATAACATTAATAAGGAATACCTAAAAATAGAAATCTATAACATTATTGAAAAGATATCTGAATTTGTATATTCTTTTAAATATTTTTATCTTCTTAACTAATTTATTCAACTATTTCACTCTTTTAAAATTAATCGAACAATTTTTTTCTTTTAATTTTGTAGCAGAGACATAAAGTTCGTCTTTTTTACTAGCATACTTAAAAAGCGAGAAGTTGTAAATTTTTAGGAGTGAGAATTTAATTTATAAACATAATAAGAGATGATAAAATAATACTAAGCAATAAACAGTATTTAAAAAATGAATTTGAATATTAAAATCTTCAAAGAATTAACAGAGACTTTTTTTTCACTCAAAATCACACTAACGTGTAACAAGGGTGTGTGTGTGTCAATATATTGTTGTTCTTCCACCGTTACTATAATGACTAGTTAGCTCAGAGACAGCAAACGCGCTTTCAAGTCTTCTGGGTCCATTCACCAATCTCACTTGCAAATGTCACAACATCTTAGAACCAGTCCATGCTTAAAGTTCACAATCTAGATTAGATATTACACTCTTTGCTCCATTTCTTCAACTTGTCTCTTTCTTCTATTAATACGTTTTCAAACTTTGCTTCTGGGATATTAACCTCTATCCATGCCATAGTTTGTTCTTGCAAACAAAAAAAAACGGTGTTCTTGCAACAAGAATGGGCAAGAACAGGAAATTCAGTCGCTTCAAGGATCTTTCGATGGCTTTGCGCTTTGTGGCGGTTTTTTTCTTGTTTCAGGACTTGGATTTGTGCTCTTCTTTAAATGAAGAAGGTAGTAGACTTAGAGTGGAAGTGGAATTTTGAGTTTGTGGAGTCTTTTATTCTCTTATGTTGCTGCTTGGAAGATGCTGAAAGTGAAACATGGTTTCTCTTTGCAGGTAATGCTCTTTTGAAGTTGAGGCAGAGAATAGTGAGTGACCCTTTTGGTGCTTTGTCAAATTGGATTCAGGATGAAGTCTCTGTTGACCCTTGTAATTGGTTCGGAGTTGAGTGCTCAGATGGCAAAGTTGTGACCTTGTAAGTGCTGATTCTGTTATCCATTTCCTTAGAAACTGATTATATTTCAGCAATTCTGTGGTATAATTTGTGGGTACAGGCAGGACTAGAAAAGAAGAGGAACATACATGTGTTTTTTTTAATCCCTCTCTCTTTGTCTCTTTATCTGGGTCATCAAATGAGAGATCCAAGTTTTGAATTTTTTACTTTTTTGTCCGTTGGCAAAATCTTATTCTCAAGTGATCAACTCCACAGACAGTGGCTATAGTCATATCAATTTTTGAACATTCGTCTCTTATGTTAAATCTTTGAGAGGGTTTTAATGTAGAGAAGTTATTTCTTTGCTCAGGAATTTGAAGGATCTATGCCTTGGAGGAACTCTCGGGCCCGAGATTGTGAACCTTGTTCACATAAAGTCTATGTAAGTAATTGTTTGTTACATTGACCATGGCTGTTCCTTTCCTTAATATTTCTATTTTGGCTTTTATTCTAATAGCATGACGATGAATATGGTGCAGTATTTTGCGAAACAACTCTTTCTATGGGACCATCCCTGAAGGATTTGTAGACTTAAAAGAATTGGAGGTTTTGGATTTGGGATACAACAACTTCAGTGGACATCTACCTGCGGATCTTGGGAGTAATATCTCACTGGCAATCCTGTAGGATGATACTCTTAGGACCGTTCAATTTCACTTCTTTTTTTTTCTTTAATTCTGCCACCATGTACTCATTTTCTTCTTGTTGCAGTTTGCTGGATAACAATGAATTTCTTGTTGGTTTCTCTCCCGAAATCAATGAGCTGAGGATGCTTTCTGAATGCCAAGTAGATGAAAATCAGCTAACTAATGCTGCTAATATGCCAGCTTGTCCAGAAAGAGCCATCACATGGTATGTTACTAATTAATTGAAAAGTTGTCCATCTCTGGAATTATAGGCCTTTTTATGCGCATGTATTTTGTATTCTAAGTTGTGTCTTTATGCTATTGTTATATGATCCTATTTCTTTCTTCTAAAAAGCAAAATTACATAATTTTATCTTTTTTGAAGGCATATTGGTCAAGGTAAAGGTACTCGTGGCCTACTAGGAAATGATAAATCAGCACTTTTTCCTCCCCATCCTAGTCGTGTGCCTAATCCACTTCATTCTAATAAAAAAGAGGCTTTTAATCGTGCCAAGAATCCAGTTGTTGAGAGCCATTCTCCTGCTTCCGCACCAGCCTCAGCAAAACCACCAGTGCCAACAAAGCCAGCTCCCCCTAGGGAAAAGGCTTTTCATTCTAAAACTAAAAGCACCTCATCAAATATTCATATTTTGGCTGGAGTAATAGGTGGTGTTGTGTTTCTCCTTATTTCAAGCATTGGCATATATCTTTGTAAAACCAAAGTAGCTAATGTCAGACCTTGGGCCACGGGACTAAGTGGACAGCTTCAGAAGGCATTTGTAACTGGTAATATAAGCAATTTCTTTCCTCAATTTAACAGAAGTAGAATCATGGCTATAAACAAAATACAATTTTTATTGGAACAAAATTTAGATACAGTTTCATAAGTATTTTTGGTGCTATTGGCCAATCAAAATTAGAGTTTTACTTCTGTAATATATGTTGACCTTCAAACCAAACATTCATTAAGCAGATTATCAAAGTAAAACTTTAGTTTTGGTTGGAGAACAACACAAAAATCACTTAAGACACTGCATTTAAGTTTTATCTTTTTTTATGATACATGACCTACATTATTAGTTGTATGTTCAACTAATTGTATTAAAAAATTGTGTTTCTCTTACCTAGAAGGACCATGCCTTTTTATTAAAAAAAACAGAAGATCTAAATCGCATACTTCATACTGACTCGGGATTCCTAAAACATGACAAAGAATTGGAACTTATTTAACTTGTTTTCACAATATCTTTTGGTCATCCTGTGTGTCTGGCTTCGAAAGACTGTATTTACATCTCTGAGTTGTAATCCTTGTGCTCATATGTATATTTTCTGCCTATGTACATGAATAACAGAGTTTTAAATTTGTAGGTGTGCAAAAGCTAAAGAGAACAGATCTTGAAGCAGCATGTGAAGATTTTAGCAATGTAATTGGTACTTCAGCCGTTGGTCCGCTGTACAAAGGAACTTTGTCTAGTGGCGTTGAAATAGCTGTAGCTTGTGTTCCGGTGACATCATCCAAGAATTGGTCAAAGACTTTAGAAGCTCAATTTAGAAAGAAGGTATCAATTATCATGACAAAAAAGACCATCAAACTTATCAGCAGACTTGCAATTTAAGCATTTTAATTATAACTAATTTTTAAGCTTGATGGTTTCAGCTAGATACATTATCGAAAGTGAACCACAAGAATTTTGTCAATCTTATTGGATATTGTGAAGAAGAGGAGCCTTTCACCAGAATGTTGGTTTTTGAATATGCCCCAAATGGAACACTATTTGAACATTTACACAGTGAGTACTTATCATCTTAGAGTAATTATTACACCAAGTGTTTCTATTAACAATTGTCTAATCCTACCCACCATCTAATACGCTTAAATGGCTTAAGTCAATGCATTGGACTCATTATTGAGGAAACAGTTGGTGAAAGTGTGACCAAAAAGTTAGCCTCCTTGAACAGGCGTTTCAATTTGGATTTTCATTATATTCCTTCTTGTGGTGTTAAAATAATGTTTGGTTAGTAGAATTCATATTTTGTGAACGCAGATTAATCTGTAATTATCAACTTTAAAATATTACATGGATCATATTCATGGACAAAAAGTACTGTTTCCTTTTTCTTTGGAAGCTAGAATGATACTCTCCTTATAAGGATTTGATTTTTTATTATCCCTGTTTGAGTTGTTACATGGTTGATGTATTTGATCTTCTTGTGAATTCCAGTAAAAGAAGCTGAGCACTTGGATTGGGGAACAAGACTTAGAGTTGCAGTGGGTATGGCTTATTGCCTTCAACAGATGCACGAGTTGGACCCTCCTATGGCCCTTATGAAGCTGAATTCTTCAGCTGTTTACTTAACAGATGACTATGCTGCCAAACTCTCAGATTTGAGTTTCTCAAACGACACAGCCTCAGCTGAGACAAAAGCAAATGACATGCCAATAGCAAGTCCAGAAAGCAATGTCTATAGCTTTGGTGTTTTGTTGTTTGAAATGGTTACTGGTCGCATCCCCTATTCAGTGGAACAAAGGGACTCACTTGAAAACTGGGCATCGCACTATTTACAAGGGGACCAGCCCCTCAAAGAAATGGTGGATCCAATTCTAGTATCTTACCAAGAGGATCAACTAGAACAAGTTTCTGCTTTGATTAAAACTTGTGTGGACCCTGATCCAGAGCAGAGACCAACAATGAAAGATGTCAGTGAGAGACTCAGAGAGATAACAAAAATAACACCTGAATCAGCAGTTCCGAAACTTTCTCCACTTTGGTGGGCAGAGCTTGAGATTGCTTCTTCAGAAGCACGTTAAAACAAGTGAAGCAGATTGTAATTAAGTTTGTTCGAGAGGTTTAAGCATTGTGATTGATCCTTTTTCCTTAGGTGAAGTCAAAGCACTAAAAAGTTCTCACTTAACGTCTCTATTGTTGTAGGACATGGTCGCAATTCGCAATGGCGTGAGTGATGTTTTTTCGGGTGCTTCGTTTAATTGTAGCTTATGGAATTGCACCTAGCTTTCGTATATCACTTACTTTTTCATGTCAGTTTATGTGGTGAATCCAGACAAGTTCAAGTCTTCTCTCATTTCTTCAAATGTAAAATAACAGTTTGCTGAATAGAAAAATGCAGAAATTAATTGATAAGTTAGCTTGAAAAAATAAAATGATCGAGCAACGTGAAGGATATATATGTTGATGTTTGGGTTCAACAACACCGTTTTGTAATTTTGTTAAGAGAATTCTATGCAAGATCTATGATGTATACCTTTGGATAAAAAAGAAAATAATGCACAAGAATTTCTGGCCTCATATTACTTCTTAGACATTTAAGGGTTAATTATGTGAAATTAACATGATGTTGACAAGCCTAACTTTTAAATTTTATGTTAAATTGTATTTTTATCCTTCTTTAATATTAAATACGTAATCTAGGTTTCTAATTTTTAATTTTGTAATTTTAATCTCTTAAATTTATAAAATTCACAATTTTAATTTTCTTGCTAAATTTTCATCTGTTAATCATTAAAATTGTAATATTAGTGATGATCTAATATATATCTAATGCATTCATTTTATACAAACAAAGCAATTCATCTAAAAGGTTATCCTACATTCAAAATTAAACTATATTTATTCTTAGTATTTATGAATAGATGTAAAATGAAGAAGAAAAAAAAATCAAAGAGTTTAAAAAGCCAAAATATAATTTAAAAATAAACATGAAATGAATGCTATGTTTTGGTGTAATTAAAATTAGAATTTTAATTAAAAATATTTAAAACAAATAAAAAAATTAATTAGTTATTATGTTAAAAGATAATCTCATGTCACAATATCGAGTTAGTATAAATTAACGTTATTTTAACAATGCTAATATGTGATTGATATAATTATAAGATTTTTAAAATTTAAGGATCTATATAAAGTGTTTTTAACTATAAGAACCTAATTAAAAATTTGATAAAACTACAGATATCAACTAGTCATTTAACCTATAAATAATATAGTTGGGAATGAATTTCCTAAAATATCTTTCCTGACAAAGAAAACTATGCAATTTAGGTGGAGAAAATTATGTTAAAACTTTGTACTATATTACTATAAAAGATAAATGTACATTTTAAATTTATTTATTTTATTAAATATCTCATTAATTAATATAATGTACTTCTTCTAGACCTATACATAAAGAAAGATTAAATTGTACTTTTGATTTATTTTTTTATTTTTTTTTTCTCAATCCATAATTTTTGTTCTTTTATTTTAAAATAAAAATATTTATTTCCTTTAATTTTAAAAGTACAAAATTTTGACTCTCCTATCAAATTGACAATCATGATAATCATTAATCGTTAAGTATTAATGTTTATACATACTTAAGTAATGTGATATTTAGTAACATAATATTTAAAAATATATAAAAAAAATATAAATAAGGTTTAATAATAAAATAAATATCAATCACTTGTTAAAATAAATAAAAGAAAAAATATTTTATGTTGTTTTAAAAATTTTATTCCAACATATTACATTACTAAATATTATGTTACTTAAGTGATGATAAATTATCAAAAAAGTCAAAATTTATCGATCAATGAACATCAACTTGAAGGTAAGACTAAACTTTCATATTTTTAAAAATAAAGAGACTAAATATCTCCATTTTAAAATAGAAAGACAAAAATTGTAGATTAATAAAAATAGAGGACTTAAATTGTAATTTAGCCTAAGAAATTTTTTTTTTTTACATAGATAAAGAAACATAGTTAAATGTATTTAATTTTTACAATATCGTATACTTCCTCTATTCCTTTTTATCTGTCAGATCTTTAATAAAATTTTATTTCTATTTATTTGTCATTTTTAAGTTTCAAGACAACATTAATTGTTGTGTTAGCAATCAAACCTTTACTTCTCACTAAATTTTTAATTATTTTACACATGCCAATTAGTATACATTTATTATGAAATAAAAATGAAAGAAGGTATAATAGAAAATATCAATATCATTTTATGAAAAATAAGAAATTCTTTTACATTTCTTTGTATGTGTAAAATAATTTTAAACAACTATTATAAATGAATGGAGGTAGTAAAATATACTACATTTGATGAAATATCCTTAATAAAAATTATTTGAGATAATGCTCTCATTTATTATCTTAAAGATATTTTTGAATTAAAAGTAAAATAAAGTTAACTTAGTTAAAATTTATTTATGTTTAAGTCTAAAAAATTTAAGTACTTTTTTACTTATATATCAATTTAGAATAATTATTAAATAAATAAAATAATATAACCGAGAATGAATTACCTAAAATAAATTTTTAGGTAGAGAAAACTATACAATTTAGGTGAAGAAAAATATGGCAAAACTTCCTAATATGTCACTATAAAAGATAAATTTATATTTCAATTTTATATATTTTATTAAATATATCATTAATTAATACAGTGTATTAAATAAGTAAAAATAATACCACTAAGAATGAATTACCTAAAATATTAATGAAAAAACTTATCACTATAAGAAAATTATTGTATGGTGACACACACGTTATAATGATATAATAGGTGTTACTTAAAATCACTTTTACCTATACAATAAATGTAATGTATAATGGTAAATTATTAAAAATTGCGGGTATAAACTTTAATGACACATAAAATATGATGTAAAATCTTATTCAAAATCAACAATAAAATTATATGCAATTATATGTCAAATAGATATATATCTACATAATTTATATCTATAGTGATACTTTTATATATTGTTGTATGTAATATTTCTTGTAGTGTATGTAAGTTAGATAGAAAAAAAGTATGACAAAACTTCCTACTATATTCTTATAAAAGATAAATGTACATTTAAATTTTACTTAAAAAAAAAAAGATATATCATTAATAAATAAATAAATGAAAATGATATAACTAAGAATTAATTATCTAATTTTTATAATAATCCATATTTGACATCAAATTTAAATGATCTAATCATTAAATTATAAGTTTTTCATGTATAGATATTGCAAAAAAAAAAAAATCATATAATGACGTAAACTCTATAATGACATAATATTTGTCAATAAAATTATTTTTACCTATACTAGTATAGATACAATATATATTGATATATTGTTAAAAAGTGTAGGTATAAGTTACAATGACACTTTTTGTATGTTATTATATGTTATATTTCTTTTAGTGAGATTAAGTTTACAATTTTTTTAAAAATTTGAAACCATATAATATATTGTTATATACATTTAAATCAACGCATAATTTTTTTTGATAATTATCTATTAGTTTTTTTTTAACTTATAATATAAGTTAATCAATTTCAATATTTTTTTTTCATTTGCATCAAAGAATATTGTCACCACGTAATGTGTAAGTTTAATGAAAGTTTTTGTTAAATATTAGAACATTAATTTTAACAATTGTTATGTTGAATGATTATCATTATAATGTTTATTTTTATTTTGAGTTTAAACAAATCAATGTTATATTTGATTATTTTTTAATATTATGTGTATTTGATTTTTGCTTTTAAGATTATGTTTGAATTATTTAAGAATAAATATTTAATATAATTATAGTAATGCTCTTAATTAAATTTTTTTTATTAATTTATTATTATTAATTTTATATATAAGCAGTGTACGATATATTAATATCATAATTGCTATCCATACAAATATAAGACTAGATTCAAGTATTATTTAAAATGTGAGTATGAAGATTTGTGCCATATGACCTTACCGGCACCCTACACATTATCATTCCAACCACCAATAGCTTAATTAATAATGATTAATTAAATAATTATGTAACATCAATTAAATTTAATATGATGTAATTTTTATTAATAAAGATATTAGTAAAAAAATATTTGACATATTTACTAATGTTTGAAGAAATTACTAAAATATTTTTTTTTTCAAATCATAAGATTAAAAACATTAAATTTAAATTTAAGTTAAGAACCAAAACTAAATTTACTTCATATTTGAGAGACTAAAAATAAAAATTATAATTATTTTTTTTATAGAAATTACATTAATATTTAATAAATAAATACGTGAATTAATTTAAATACTCATTAATATATAATAGCACTATTAAAATTAATCTTTAATACTTGATAATACATATGCATTTAAATTTTACTTATAATAAATATGTCATTAATTAATATAGTGTATTAAATGAATAAAAATAATATAACTATGATTGAATTACCTAAAATATCCTTTGGGGCGGAGAAAACTACCACAAAACTTCCTAATATTTTATTATAAAAGATGCATATGTAAATAATAAGTCACACTCGATCTATAATCTAAAACACAGTCACACTCAACACTGATGGCTTTGCAAATCACTATTACCAGGCTTCAAAGGCTCGAAATCTTCTATTTATGCAAGATTTGTCTCAATGCAGGACCATGAAAACTCCCAAACACTGCCAATTCTCATCATCGATCGACGTTTCTGAAATCGATAACAAATTTTCCAAGAATGTGATGTTTATGCCAAATACTCGGTAAACTTAATTCTTCTCAGATTGATAATACATCCACTTAAATTAAATATATGTTACTACGATTTGAGGCATTGCATTGTATAAAGTGAAGTGAGAAATTTAACTACAGTATGTTGTTTGATCTTACATAAATAGTCAAACTTTGATTTACGTAAAACTAACCTTGATAGTCTATGGCAGATGCTCTCGTGCTTTCTATGTCAACCAGGTCAATAAGGAGACAGTTTGGACACCGTTTAGTGTCATCTTTGGAATAATCGTATTAGGCCAACAAATGGATCTGCTTCACATGGAGCATGCGGTTTTTGCGTCAGGTGCAACTCATCCTTTTATATATCCTTTCAATTAATCTGTAACTTTGCAAATTTATGTGCAATAATGGATAAAACGTTTTAACTTTTACGTTAAACGATTTTGGTGTGTGAAATAATATTGGGAGTGGCTAGAACTTCCAATATTATTTTAAAATGACTTGATGGAAATAAGAAGAAGATTACAGTTAAAATTTATATTTTTTTTTGGCTTAATTGCATTTTTAATTCCTTAAGTATTGTAATTGTGTAATTTTGATCCTTAAAGTTTTAATTGAGTAATTTTAGTTCCTAAAGGATTACAATTGTGCGATTTTGGTCCTTCAATTTTTAATTGAACAATTTTAGTCTCTCAATTATCATAATTGTGCGATTTTAGTCTCTCCCATTAAAAATTAATAATTTTAATATATATATATATATAATATTTTAAAATTATACAATTATTTGTTTATTTAAATTAACGCATATTATAATTTTTTTCGATGTATCAAATAATATATATTTATTTTTAATAAATAAATAAATATATATATATAATGTTTTAAAATTAAATAATTATTTATCTATTCAAATTAACGTATATTATAATTTTCGATATTATATCAATAATATTATTAATATATTTATAGATAAACTAATAATTTGATAAATATAACTTGTTATATATTAATATACTTTTACAAAAATATAAGTATATTAATTAGAAATATATATCTGATCTTATATATTTATATTTTTGTAAAAGTATATTAATATATATTAAGTTATATTTATCAAATTATTAGTTTATTTATAAAAAGGGTAAAAATATTATTGATATTAATTTATCAGTAATATTAAAATACTAATAATATATAAATTTTATTTATTTAGTAATAGTAAATATATATCATTTGATACATTAAAAAAAATAATATACGTTAATTTAAATAAACAAACAATTATATAGTTTTAAAACATTATATATATTAAAATTTTAAAATTACTAAATTTTTAATAAAAAAGACTAAAATTGCACAATTATAATAGTTGAGGGACTAAAACTGTTCAATTAAAAATTAAGGGACTAAAATCACATAATTATAATCTTTTAATGATTAAAATTATTCAATTAAAATTTTGAAGATCAAAATTGTACAATTGCAATACTTGAGGAATCAAAAACATAATTAATCCTTCTTTATTTTATATGGGAGGAGCTCACCTCCCTTGTTAAATAAGATCAATTCTCTTGAAAGAGAATCTAGGAATATGTGCACTTGGGAAATACATTTTTATCCTATTTTTTTTTTATAGTTTAAAATATTTATTTTAAATTTTTATACATATTTTTATTTATTTTTAATCTCTATAATTTATTTTTTTATTAATTTTATTTGTGTCACGATGACGAGATCATTCCAATGCAGCATTTATAACGTGCAATTTTCTTTTTGTTTAAATACTTTTTGGTCTATATAATTTCATTTATGTATGTTTTTATTCTCTATAATTTTATTTACTTATCATTTTAGTACTTATAATTTAAAATATTTCTTTTTTAATTCTTACATGTAGTTTTTTTCTCTCTTTTAGCCTCTATCATTTTTTTCCCATTAACATTATTTGCATTTGTATACAAGCTATCACCTCCTTTAATTTCGACAATGCCTTTCATTGCAATAAAGAACAATCAAAATAATTTCACTTCCTTTAAAACTTTTTGGTTGTTCTTTATTGTAATGAAGGACATTATCAAAATTAAAGGAGGTGATAATTTGTATACAAGGTGTTTGTTGTGGTGAACATAAACATGAGTCATTTTTCTTCAAAGGAAGAAAATTCAGTGAGTAATAGTATAAGAGGTCTTCTTGAAGGGTCACTTTTGGTACATATGAAAAGGGTGATATTGTATACATTAAGAACTTAAAATTTTGGGCAAAAATTACTAGTGTTTCCTAATTATAGAGTAATATAATTTGGATTAGTGTTTGATTCAAGTATTGTTGTAGATGTTTTTCAATTTTTGGTTACTATTTTTTCATTAAGATTCTTGATGCAGAAAGTATGGAATCGAAGAAGCTTGAAATGGGTGGATAGGGTGACATCTGAACATACTTCATACATGTCATTTGAAGTCAAATGACATGCAAGAGATATGTTTAAATGTTGCTCCATCCACTCATTTAAAGCATCCTCAACTTCAAACTTCCTGCATCAATAATCTAAATAAAAAAATAGTAACAAAATATAAAAACACTTACAATAATACTTGAATCAAACACAAATCAAATTTGCATTACTCTTTAATTAGGAAACATTAGTGATTTTTGTCATCTTTTTGAGTTCTTGATATACAATCTCACCCTTTTTTTTGCATACATAAGTGATCATTGAAGAAGATCTTTTACTATTATTCATTGAATTTTCTTCTTCCTTTATTGAAGGAAAATAATGTATACTTATATTAATCACAACTCAAATCTTTTATACATTTAACTTATCAACACTTTTGACTTTGACATGACTCCCTCTTTAAAATAAAGGAACAACCAAAATATAACAATGACTGTCACACATCTAGTTTAAAATCAAATATAAAGCTATCATAGACAATTAAACCCGATATAAAGTAACTTCAACAAATAAGAAAAAATAATGTTAAAAATGTTCTTTCAAAGTAGTCTTTGTTAAGACATTACAACACAAATAACATCAATAAAAATAAATGATAAAGATTAAAGAAACCATATAAAAAAAAACTTGTTTAAATTATAGAAACTAAGAAATAAAAATAAAAATAAAAAAAAAGTAAATAAAATTATATACATAATATATATTTTTAAAAATCACATCGAAGTGATTTTCATCCCATCTCAACATAATTTTATAAATATATGATATTAAGTAACTTCAACAAATAATAAAAAAAGACGGTTAAAAATATTACTTTGAAGTAATCTTTGTGAAGTCATCACCCACCACACAAATAATATTAATGAAAATAAATGATAAGGATTAAAAAAATTTATATATAAGAAAAAAAATATTTTAAATTATAAAAATTAAAAAAAGTAAATAAAACTATAAAAAGTAAATAAAATTATATATATTTATATATAATATTTTAAAAAAAAATTCACATGGGAGTGATTTTCATCACATCGCAACATAATTTTATAAGTATATAATATAAAGTAACTTCAATAAATAAATAAAAAATTAGTATTAAAAATGTTACTTCGAAATAATATTGGTCAAGTTATCATAACACGAATAACATTAATAAAAGTAAATGATAAAGACAAAAAATCTATATATATATATATATAAAATAAATAAAACTAAAAATTTTATTTTAAAAAAAATAAAAAAAAATATATATAATATTTTTTGAAAAAATCACTTCAGAGTGATTTTCGTTCCATGGCATTGTCGCAACACAATCTTATAAATATATGATAGTGCGTAAAAGTTGAAAATAAAATCAATTGCTTTTTTGCAATTTTTATTAAAAAAAAATAGTAAGAGATTTTGCAAATTAATTTACTTTATAATATTGTATCCATTCATATACATTTAACATAATTTGTTTGCTTCATTTGACATGAAAATCCTGACCTGTAAGTCTGTAACTGTAAGCGGCGTGGAAGTCACAAGGAAAGGAAAGGTCAATTACGAAGGCAAAGCATAAATCGTGTGACAAACTGAACTGAATCGAATCCAAGTGCTTTTTTTGCCTTCAACTCACTCAATTTCGATGACAGAACCGTCTCCTCCGAACCCTAACATTCGCAGTCAACAACACTCCCTCAGCAGCGATGAGGAACCCCGCGATGATGACGACATTGAAGATGACAACGACGACGACGACGACGTCGTTCAGGAATCGAATCGCGGAATTCCCCAATCCGCAGAGTCCAAGTTGCGGGAGCAGCGTTTCAAGGTGGAAACCCTATCGCGACGGTTGTCGTCGGAGCTGGTTCCTATCCGCGTCCACGACGTGGTTGTAAGCGGCAACACGAAGACAAAGGATTGGGTGATTGAAGCTGAGCTCAAAGGCATCGAGGACGCCACCACCATGCAGGAGCTTATGCAAGCTTCGCAAATCGCCATTGCCAGGCTTCAAGCGCTCGAAATCTTCGATTCCTGCAATGTTCGCCTCGAGGCAGGACCACCAGAACTCCCTAACACCGCCAATGTCATCGTCCACGTTGTCGAATCCGATAACAAAGTTTCCGGCGAATGCGGCGTTTATACCAAGCCCTCGGTACACTCTCTTCTCCTCAAATTGATAATACATTGACTCGAACTGCATACATGTTACTTTGGTTTGAGGCATTACATTGTACAGAAACGTATATGCAACTGAAGTCGGAAATTTAACTCTGATTACATAGATACTCAAGCTTTGATTTGAGTAAAACTAACCTCCTTGACACTCTATGGCAGATTGAATGGTCTCAAGCTACATCATAATGTTTTTCCTCGGTGATAACAAGGACAAGGGAATCTAATTTTTTTTATTTATGTGATGTTTGTAGACTAGTTCTTGGACTGCTGAAGGTACTCTTAAGTATAAGAACTTGCTGGGATATGGTGATCTATGGGATGCTTCGTTGGCCTATGGTGCCAACCAAGCGACCGAGGTGAGTGTAGGGGTGTATGCCCCTCGCGTTAAAGGATTGTTAACTCCTATTGTGGCACGAATATCAATGCTTTCGCAAGATTGGCAAGAGTCATCCTCTTACAAGGAACGGTTGCTGGGCGCGTCTCTTGACTTGATCTCGACAAAGCACCATGACTTAGCATACACTCTTGGATGGCGTACCTTAACGGATCCATCACAGATGTCATCCAGGTCAATAAGGAGGCAGCTTGGGCATGGTTTAGTGTCTTCTTTGAAGTATACGTATAAAATTGATAGGAGAAATTCTCCTATTAGGCCAACAAAAGGATATGCTTTTCTTTCCACCACCCACATTGGTGGCCTTACACCGGATCACAGGAGCTTGCGGTTTCTGCGTCAGGTGCGATTAATTCATTTATTATCCTTCAATTAACATGTTACTCAGCAAATAAATGTGCAATGCATAAAAATATTAACATTTATGTTAAATGATTTTTAGTGTAAGAATTATTCAAATAATATTGAGAGTGACTATAATTTCCAAATTGGTGTGATCAGAAATTTTTAAATGATTTGATGTTATTATTAAGTAAATTACTGTTACAACAATAGATTTTTTTATGTGGAAGGATTCCATCTACTTTGTCAAATAAGATCTCTTCCCTTAAAAGAGAATCCAGTAGTTTGTGCATTTGGAAGTAAACTACTTTTGCCAATTGTCCCTTAGATTTCAAATTTGCAATTTTCGGAGATCTTGACTAAAAACATAGATCTATATGTTACAAAAGATTTGGTATTTATTTAACTATTGAGATTATTTTGTTAAATTTAGTGTTTTTTCGGGATCTTTGATGAAGTCAAGATCATCAAGAATTGCAAATTTCAAATCTAAAGGATGGTGTACTTTGCAAAAGGTTGAGAGAAATTCAGCCTTTCATGATGATAATAAGAGTCCTAGCACAATGTCTAAGCTATGTCATTTAATAGCGTGTTCTCAAAGAAATCAAACCTAGTTTTAAGGTTCTCATAGCATATGTTGATCAGATACACAGTCCTGCAACATGTTGTTGGGATTCATCCCAAGTCCCACATCGGTAAAATGAAGGAACATTGGCTAGTTTATAAGTGTCCACCATTCCACATAGTATGAGGCCTTTTGGGAAGGAGCCCAAAAACAAAACCGTGCGGGCTTGGGCCCAAAGCGGACAATATCATACTATGGTGGTGCAAAAGGTGGACAATCGGTGGTATCAGAGCCAGGTTCGTCTGGGTTTGATGCGGGAAGACCCTCAGTGTTGTGCCTCGCGATGGAGATTCGAACTTGGTGCCTTGTGTCGAAAGTCTTCCTGATATTGTGGTGTTCAGGCGGCGTGTCCCGTAGAGTTAACGGCGGTACAAGATGGTGACGGATTATCGCTTGAGGGGAGGAGATCACGAGACATGTGGTCCTTGGTCTGAGGGGAGGTTTGTTGGGATTCATCCCAAGTCCCACATCGGTAAAATGAAGGAACATTGGCTAGTTTATAAGTGTCCACCATTCCACATAGTATGAGGCCTTTTGGGAAGGAGCCCAAAAACAAAACCGTGCGGGCTTGGGCCCAAAGCGGACAATATCATACTATGGTGGAGGAACAGGTGGACTAGCGGGCCCTACAAGTGGTATCAGAGCCAACGGTTCGTCTGGGTTTGATGCGGGAAGACCCTCAGTGTTGTGCCTCGCGATGGAGATTCGAACTTGGTGCCTTGTGTCGAAAGTCTTCCTGATATTGTGGTGTTCAGGCGGCGTGTCCCGTAGAGTTAACGGCGGTACAAGATGGTGACGGATTATCGCTTGAGGGGAGGAGATCACGAGACATGTGGTCCTTGGTCTGAGGGGAGGTTTGTTGGGATTCATCCCAAGTCCCACATCGGTAAAATGAAGGAACATTGGCTAGTTTATAAGTGTCCACCATTCCACATAGTATGAGGCCTTTTGGGAAGGAGCCCAAAAACAAAACCGTGCGGGCTTGGGCCCAAAGCGGACAATATCATACTATGGTGGTGCAAAAGGTGGACAATCGGGCCCAACACATGTTTGTTATCTTCTAGTGTCATTGCAACAAAATGTGGGAAAGAAGCATGATATACATAAAGAAGCTGGTTGGTGTCACTACATGTTAACTTGTAGTGTTTGTGTGGTATATATGTACGTAAAGTTCTTATGATATTTTGTGTTGTGTATATACATTCGAGAAGGCTCATCCATTGATGTGACATGAAATTGTATTGTACGTTTGCATAAAGTGCTTGTGTATTTTGCACGATATATATACACTTACAGTAAAATGAACCTAAAGCATGAGAACCTTAATGGCTGCAATCCAATGGCGAGTCTTGCCAAGAGTCTTAGAAATGGTGATCAAAGAAGCATTGCAAGTGGGGATCAGGTTTTAAGCTTTATGGTTGCAAAGAGAGGGGGATGGAGACCAAGGACGAAGAAACCGCGATGGGAATAGAAAATTTGTTTACTTGGGTTTGATACAAAAGTAGGAGTTAATCAATGCAATGTGTTGTGTCTCTTTATGAGTGGTGTGGTGAGGTCGTGCATGGATGGGAAGAGGAGGCTTGTGGAGTGGTGGCATGAGGTAGGCGACAATAGAAGCAAGGTTGGGGTGGTGATGTGGTGGTTCAGATAGCATTAGATAATGACTCTGAGGGGATGACATTGTGGTGCAGTGAGAGTCATTATGTATTGTTGTAGTGATTGTGGTTTGTGGTTGTTTGGTTGGTTTGATTTTCAGCAAGATGGTGGTCATGGTGGGTTGTCATATCAGTTTGATTTGATGAAAGAATGGTAACTGTTGTGGTGGACAAACAATGGCTTCTGAGTATTTTCAGAGGCCCTAGTGAACGTGGCATACTCTTGATGAGGTTGGAAGAGGGTCTGTTGGGGTTGGTTGCTTGGTGAAGATGACGGTGTCGGTGTTCATGGTTTGTGTAACAACAGAATGTGGCTGTCTGAATTCATCGCCGTTATTGATGTGAGCAGAAGAACCATGATAGTTTATGTTGACACCAAACAACTAACAAGGTATAGAAGAAAAAGTAACTGATACTACAAATTTCTTTCAAATAGGTCCCTCCTTATGCAGGAATTATTGGGCTTCCACATAAGGAGTGTAGACACCCAATTTCGTCCAGGGGGCAAACAAACAGCAAGATAGGACATCAGAGGGCCCAAAGGCCCAAACCAATTTTTTTAGTGGCCCGGAACGGG